ATATAACTATAGTCTGTTTGGAAATGAAAGAGAGTAATAAAACCCCGAGATAAGAACCCGCCATGGGCGTGGTAATATTTCGTTTCAGGTAATTATCGGGTAACACTAATGCTAACAAAAATGACAGGGATTGGAAAATCGACTATCTACAGACTTTTAAAGGAAACAAAAAATGAACAAGATACTGTAAATCCCCCAAAATCATCTACAGGGAGGTCAAAAGTCGTTATAGATGATTTCTTCAAAAATGTCATTCGCAGAAAAGTACACTCATTTTATTTTAAAAAAGAAATACAAACGCTAAACAAAATTTTAAGTGAACTTTCAGAGAACAACGATTTGCCAAAAATCAGTAGAAGCAAATTATGGGCCGTCTTACGAGAGTTGAATATTTGCTGGGAAAAGCAGAACCGGAAGTCAGTTCTTATCGATAAAGATGAAATTATTTGTTGGCGAAGATCCTACTTAAGATCAATTAGAAAATTCCGTGACGAAGGGAGGAATATTTATTATCTAGACGAAACTTGGGTCAACGAGAGATATACTGTAACAAAAGTATGGCAAGATAAAAATGTAAAAAGTTTTCGACAAGCATTTTTGGATGGACTTTCAACAGGGTTCAAGGCACCTTCAGGTGCCAGTGGTTTTGTAGATGGCGGTTTACTTTTATTTGAATCTAAAAATACAGGTGACTGTCACGAAGACATGAACGCAGATGTTTTCGAAGAGTATTTTACACAGATGTTGGATCTTATTCCTCCGGGGTCTGTAATTGTCATGGATAATGCCAGTTACCATTCACGGCAGACCGAGCGGACGCCTACGACTGCTTGGATGAAAGCCGATATAATTCAATGGTTATTCGGAAAAAACATTTCTTTTTGAACAGACTTATAGCGTTTAATCCCGCTATTTGATGATATGGGCTGTACTGGTCGAAAATATATTTCGGACAAACTGTTATGGAATATGCTGCGTCAAAGCGAAATTTTCATTCCATTATCATACGCAACGACTCGCTAATTTACATATAAAATTGTCGTTTATTTGAATGTTGACGGCTTTGAATGTCGTAATCATTAATTGTTTGCTTTGATATACGAGCAGTCAGCGTTACATTTGACAGTAAATTGATTAAGTGCTCTCAGTATTCAAGCCAGTATCCGTCCATCTACGTATCCCCGTTGTTATATGTGTCGCGATTGAATATACACTGTATTACGGCATATCCGATACTCGGTTTGGGGGCGCTGGATTTTCCGCGAACGTCACTGGATATTATACATATTCATCCCGGGTAAGCCGAAATCAATCTGCTTCCGCGGAATGTGAAAAGGGCGGCGACATATTCGCCCTCGGTTTGATGGTACCTTCTCAGGGCCCTTTGAACGGGAGGGGGCAACTCTTCCAGTGACTTTAGGCTGTTTTAAATATAAAACAGATAATTATTGTATCTTCACTGAATCGGTTCCGACAGCGTGATGAACTTCAAAACTCATTACGTCAATAAGTCTCATACCGAATACATATTTATACCTATAAGTGTGTGAACTTGACTCCAGACGTACAGTTAGAAATGGAAATAAATTGTAAATCTCGCGGAATCCGGGGAAGAGCGGAATTAATCACATCTATTTTAATTACAAGAAGCATTAGGCGTTGTACACAACCACGTAGTCGCGTATTCCTACCTTGTAGTAATTTATTCGAAACCCCAACCATTGCCGAGCTGAGGAAATGGTGAATAAATGGAACAATAACTCACTCGATCCGGATAACGAGGATGGGTGGTAGGAATCGTGGTGCGCGCTCTTTTAACGGAATGTTTAAGACGTCAAAGTGAGACGTTTCCGACTTACTGTTTTGTCTAAAATACAGCTTGATATAAGATTTGGTATAAGGATAAGGATGAGAGGAGAAACTGGAATTCGCTGCGATAAATTCATCAAAATACCTATTCGGGTAATAATAAGTATTCGTTATTAGGTTTTTTACACAGGTTTTTATGGCGCGCACGATTTTATTAGTGGTCAAGATAGATTTTGACTTCGCGAAAATTACTGGAAGAGAGAACTTTTTATTTTTCGCTTTGTAAAGTTGTCAGAAACAACATATAAAAAGTTACCAACTGTAGAGTGTGCGCTAAATTATTTATTTAACAAATTAGTTGCAAAATTACAGTTTTTGAAAAATATATAAAAAATATAATTCAAAAAAAAATTACTGCGCCATTCGAAAGAACAGGAAATTTTACATAAAAAATGTTAATAAAGTTTTTTTCTAAAATGCGAATTGAAGGCTTTGGATTTTTTTTTTAACATAGAAAAATGAGCCGGGCGGCCCCCAAGTATAGCTCTCGAAGAGCGCGCGGCCCCCGATCAAATTGATCAAATCGACCTCATAAAAATTTAAATGAAAGAAGAGTGAACCGGTTATCAAAATTTGATGTCTTTAAACTTGAGAAATAAACAAATTCTAAAATACCTACGTCATAGATAATATTGATTTCCTCGGTCATAATATCATTAATTTTAAGGGAAGTTGCTAAAAAACTAGTAGGATACGAATAATCGATTAAAAAATTTTAAAATGCATATTTTCGCTGAAAAAAAATATTTTCATATTACTTTCACCCCTTTTCGGACCGTCCCTGACCGCTGACCTACAAAGGTTTATCGAGAGTGAATCTTGAGATATCAAATTCTTAGACTTAGACACGTGAATGAATAAAACGTTTTTAATAATAAAAACAAATGTACAACAATAATTGTTTTCAAATGTAATATTGTTAAACTGTTTTATAATTGATTGTGAGTTTTTAGTATTATGTTTGTGGTACCTTCTTTATTTAAAATGCCAGTACGGCTAGAAAAACATTTACCCGTACATAGCACGTTGTTAATAAAGTTAGTATCCCCTGCATTTTAATTTTGAAACCAATTGCAAAATATAAGACGACTAAGGAAATCAGCTGTTTCGCTTCAACGATCAAACGCTTTTTTTCATCATATTTGTCTACATCGAGGCAACAATCCTGTATTTTTGCCGCATTTAACCAGTAGAAGGATAAATAAGAAGCAGATCTACTATTTCCGAGGATTATTCGAGACAAACGAATCAGCGGCGTTTTTATATAAGAAGCAATAGACAAAGCGCCTGTCTGCAAATATCAACAGAGCCTTTCAAGATTGTCCAAAGGAGATTTCATCAGACAGGTAAACAAAGCGATAAGTTTAATCGATTGCCAGCGTGTACACAAGAATTATAATAAAGTAATTTTCCCCAGAAGGAACCAGATAAATAGGTTACCGCCGAGTGTTTAACTTTTATGGAATGAAGTTGCGGATGAACGTGGAGGAAAACGTATAAAATTGAAGATAATACGGCCTCTGGAGCCTTGTTTGCACAGGTTCGGATTTATTTGAATTGTTTCTGGAATTGGCTATATCAATCTTTAAAAACATCTAAGTTCGCTGGCAGTCATTTATTCAACTTCCTCTGGGTATTCAAACTCATTATCGACGTATTTCTGGAGTACGCCTTTGTTACTTCTTTTCTAAAGCGCAGTTGTCTGCAATGATTAAGCAAGGGCTTTGGAAGATTATTGGACATCAGACGACAGAAATCTTTAAAATTTCACAACAGATGTGAGTTTAATATCAGATTATTAGTACTCAGAGAAATTTATAGCTGGTGTCATTAAGGATTTGTAAATATGTGTTATAATGTTAAAAACATTCAAAAATGTATGTACTACAGGTATTGAACCCAACAATGGTATTTGAGAAACCTCAAACTTCAATATCTTGTTTTTTTTTGTTCAATATTTTGTACCTTAGGGCATATAAATTATTAGATCTTTCAGAATCCGCCACACGAAGAACCACGTTGAGGTCAATCGAATTGGCCTTGCTGATAAAATCTCTTCATCAAAAAATTTATTTTAAGGAATATTATTTATCTAGAACACAATGACATTTTATAAAGCATCTTTTATAGACTTGTTTGGTCTATATTTCTCCAATATCAACAAATTTTTCTACAACTTTGGTCTATACCTTTATTTTACTTTGTTTATTAAATAGAAAAGTAAAAAGATGAGAGGGGTGGAACATGGATTACTTTGTAAGTACTTCATTATTTCTTCAACTAATTTATTTATTTGTCCCGGTCATATTTTTAGCCCTCTGACCTTCTAAGAATGACTGTAAATAAAGCCGGCAGTGGGTAGTAGTCCTCACAAAAAAAACGCATTTCAGACTATACATTTAAGTTTATCTAATTTAATTAACTAACCCCAATGTAGTGCGTGCCGTGGTAAGTTATCCTACATCCTACATCCCATTTTAGTAAATAAAAGTTAATAAAGTAATTCGTTGAAATTGTTAATGGCACCCAGAGGTATTTATTTTTTATTATCTCTTCTATGTGCTGTTGTGTCTTTATAGGAACATTAAAATGGTTTTACAGTAGATTAAACTTTACTGTGTTTATAGATATGGTCCTGAAACCTTTTGTTTTCCTCTAATTTGTGAATTGATGTCATATTTTTTGGATTCTATTATTAATTACAAAATGTATTTCTTTTCCCATTACCGAGCATTTAGTGATTATTTCTACCGCTTGTAACTGAAAGGGAAGATCAAAAAATTATATTATATATATGGTGAGTTGGAAAATCCCACAAAACTCCAGGAATGGATTCTAGATGTCAAAATAATAATAATTAATTTGTTTTCAAGCTATGACTTATTCATTTAAACTGTATATTGGATATAATGCATTATCCTTAAATCAAATATTACTCCGTACGGAACTTGTTACAACAATTTTGATAAACCGTTCCTAAATTTATCTACAAAGTCCCGTGCCGTACTTTAACTTGTTTGCAAATTACTACAGCGTAACAAAGGGAGGAGTAACTCCCTATTGCTTCCGTAGCATTGTATCTCGTCGGAGCTAATTAAGTTGTAAATGTAAAATAATTACGGTCATCCGAAATGACCGAACATAATGCCAAGCAGGTCTCTCTAGGTATTTAATTGCGCGTTATTTCCGTATGCGCCAGTTAAAACCCAAAAAGAATTGTATTCCGCACGTCTCGCTTTGCATATCAAATATATAGAAATTATAAGTACTCGAAAATTGTAACTCTTATTGTAGATTTTCAGAAACCTCTTGCATCCCACCTACCTACATTTTTATACACGAAAAACTGAAAACATTCTACATATTGATTAAGAACTTAACGATTTCTGCAACAAAAACACCTATGTTTCGAAAGCATCCAATTTTGAAGTGGCGTCTCATTGGAGGTTTTCATAACAGTATGCATTTATTAATCCTTAGGGAGAACAATTGCCCAATGGAATAAAAAATCACTTTAAATCCTGTTGAAATCGATTCATTCAAGAATACGTCCATTTGTATTACCATGGTGATATCTGCATAAAATTCAGAATACTGTTTATTTAAAAACAAACTCATTTTCATTCGAGGGATCTAATCCAAGCCACGAACTTAACATGATCGATCTTCTTGCGGAAATTTAATCCTCGCCGTACGTTTAATTTTTAATTAACACCCAGGCCACTAAATCAATTCCAATAAGTGGATTGCTTTGTTACTATAAAAAACTGAAATCGAATTAAGTTACCGATATCTGCATTGAGTCTGCTTGATTAAATTTCTGTTAGATTATCCTGCACCTATGAGGAACCAAGTTAATTATTTGAAGAGTGTTATCTGGAATTGAGTACTGAGTGCGCTTTTGCGCAATTTTTGCGTAAAAGGAAACCAAAAACGAGGGCAACGAATATTTTCTTCAGTACGTAGTCCCATTTGTTCCAATCACTGACTGGTTAAGTCAGTTTGAAACCTCGAGAGCCGCTTTCTAGGGGGAAAGTCTTGATTTTAGGGGGTTTTAGGGTTCAAAACTGGTAGTTTTGAAACAAATATATTTGTAGTTTATGATGATAGTTTATTATGATAAGAGATCTTGTAGGTAGCTAAAGTCCGAGATAATAAATTTCAAAACTATAAAAGATTTAAATTAAATTATATATATTTACAAATAATATAAATTGTAAGAAAAATTTACAGAAAAATTTCACATAGTTTGACGAAACGAAAAAACATTTACGGCATTTAAAAATATCTGCTCATTTGATCCAAATACTTTTTTTTTCAGTATAGATTAAAATAATTGTGAAATATATTACATGGCTTACAGTTTGAACTAAAAATGGACAGAGGTCAATTTAGTGATCACTCGACGATTCTTTGAGATACTTTAGACCCTCATTTAATATACTATAAATTAAAACAATTTTTTACTGATACTTAATAACTGTTATTCTGTTCGTATAAACTGAATTGATAAGTTGGTGGTTACACTGAAATAGGAAATTATACGATTTCGTCCCAATATCAAATTAAAACAAAAAAGCTTATTTAGGTAGGTACACGTACAGTGGTACAACTCGCACAGGTGCAAGAAGCCGATGCTCCTTACTTGTAAGTGCACGAATTGTTTCTAGTGCGATGCATTAATACACGATTTTGCTTTATTTATCACCAGAAATGTGGGTTTTTAATTGTATTTGCTAAAAACAACACGCTCTGTACGTATTTATTTTGATCTGTCATTTTATGCGGAGGGATTTTCCTACAAAATCGCATAGAGTGTCACTATAGGCGACCCCTAAAAAGAGGCATGAACCTACTAAATTTTTAAAACAAAAACCTACAGCATGAAACTTTTTTATTTTAGAGTGTATTTTTTGATAATTTACATATGTTTTTATATTTTTCGGCGTGGTCAGTTAATTATTATAAACAAAAAAGTTGTAAAAAAAATTACTCGCCGAATGGTTTTGAAAACAGTTTTTTTATTGTAAAATGGATCAAAATAAACATTTTTTGTTCTTTGACAAAAATTCGAAAAATGCTTCGTTTCCCAGATATTTACAATTTAATGTGAAAAATGTGACGAAATCGACAAATTTTCAGAATTTTTTTCTCAAAAACTACTGAACAGATTTTAATTCTAAAGAAAGCATAATAATCGGCATAACTTCTACTTTAAGATATATATTTTTTGGTATAGGTCAATTATTTTATTGAAGGTCTAAAGCGAGCAAAAAAACAGTCTACAAATAGTGAAATTGTAACTCTGGATCCATTGACACATGGATGGAAGCAATTTTCGAATTTTTTTCAAAGAACAAAAAGTGTTTATCTTGGCTCATTTTATAATAAAAAAACTGTTTTCAAAGCCTTTCGGCGAGTAATTTTTTTTACAACTTTATTGTTTATAATTGATTGACCACGCCGAAAAATATAAAAAAAATATGTAAATTATCAAAAAAATACACTTCATAAAATAAAAAAAGCTTCATGCTGTAGATTTTTGTTTTAAAAATTTAGTCGGTTACCTTCATTTAGAAGCACCTTTTTAGGGGTGAACCGCTCGCCTACTACCTTATCAGACAAATCGCATCACGTAACATTTTTCTAACGCCACTGTTTCTCCGCAGGCCATGCAGAAACCAAGTCGCACACCCGCCACCCACACTCCGGAAGTGCCCATCACCGTTCCATTCGAGCTGACACCCGATCCAACCTGAGCTATGAGACAGCCAACGCGGCTGGAGAGGAGTTCACCCAGATGTACTCCAAGCAGAACGCCAAGCTGGTGTTAGAGTGTGCAGTGAACATCAACTTCAGCACCAGCATCTGGCTGAAGGACGGGCAGATAGTGCAGACCATCCTCAAAGACAATACGAACAATAAGCGGGTGATCGGTCACCGGTTCCTAGTGGACGCGATCGGTAACCTCGCCATAGACAATGTCAGGCTGGAGGACGACGGCAGGTGGCAGTGCGAGGCGGAGGACGCCTTTGGGTTCGTGGTGCAGGGGAAGCCCATCCAGCTCACCGTCTTGGGTAAGTGTTCAATTTTTTTCGTCTTCTGCTATCCACTCAATTTTAAGGAATCTGAAACGAAGGTCTAAAATTAGTTACATCATCAACGATACATAAGTTGCACCCAAATTGTTATCATTATACTCGCAAATTTCACATTTTTTTCCTAAAGAAACGTATTTTAGGACATGATTTTGATTGTAATTTTATTTAGATTTCCTCCACAAGATAAAGAAATAAAGGATCCAACGATTCATATATTTCTTTAGCCCTTCGGGCAAAGCTTACAACCGCCCATAAACTTTTGTGTATATTTTAATTTTCTGACCCTCGGAGTCTGCCGACGGATAAAAAGGATATTTAACTGTGCCCTTAACGAGAACAATGCACGCGATACTCGGTCTGTCGTGAGAGCTCTTAGCAGCCTTGGTCGTAATCTTAAATTTATTCGCGTGGATCCTAATGACGTTGATGGCCGTTTTACATTTCGCATTCAGATTACACGGTTAATCCCCTTAAACAAGTTCAAATAAGCCATTCGTGTTCCAATTCCCGTAATTTATGAATATACAGCACAATACTGAGAACAGATTATTTTATTTATCCACACCTTGTAATAGGACTTTTATCCACACATACGAACCGTCTAAAGTGAGTAGTTTATCCACTAGTGGAATAAAGTAACTTTATTAATAGTAGACAGTTTTTATCTAAGAAAGTTAAATCAGTTTTATGTGAGTCGTTGGTTTTATCTCAATTTAGTTTTGGGGAGTCAGTTTATGGTCCATGTATTGATGCTGTTGACTCCAGGCGAATTCAGTTAGTGCAGAACTCTTGCTTGAGATTAATTTTTGAGATCAGAAGACGTCAACACATTTCTTATAAATTATCTGAAGTTAGTTGGCTGAATATGTATAATCGTCGTTTTTTGCACAGTGCTTATCTTAACAATAAAATATCATTTAGGAATGATGTTTATAATGTTAGTATTCGGTTTAAGGGTACTCTGACTCCTCCTCTACACCTTACTCAGTTTTTTAAACGATCGTTTTCTTACCAAATTACTAAAGTCTATAATTTGTTACAACATAATGTTAAAACATATAGCATTTATCAGTTAAAAAAAATTTTAAGTTCAAACTTCTTTCTGATCAGGGTAGAAATAATTAAGTATAATGTGAGTATATTAATCTTTCAACTAATTGTCAGTGTCTTATTACTTAAATAGGTATTGGCCGATTTCAAAAATTTCTTTTTTATAATGTAGGGTAAAAAGAACGTTATCTAACTGTGATACTGCTATTTTTATTAATGCAATACAAAACCATATGGATACCATGGTCTTGTCTTTCGGACCTGCCACTTTTTTTTGTGGGACTGTGTAATGAGTACACCTTTGTCCCACGTCTCAATTCTGACAACCCTAGTTATGAAACCAAGGATGTTACATTGGTTGTAAACCTCGATAGTGAAAATTATTTACTTTATTTTTCTGTATTTCATTTATTATTTATTCATTAGTATTCGAGTTTGTAGAAGTTTAAGGCTTGCACGTAACTTTTTCATTACACTAAATTCCTTTTCCTTGTCTCGATAGCTTTAATGGAAATAAACCGAAATGTATCGCCACTTTCGGCGGCATGAAATTATGGTTATAGAAATATCGCCGCCGTAACATGTGTTCCCTATTGATTAAAGCGTAAGTCACGCACGCTAAATCGCTATAAAATCGGAAGTGGGTGTGAAGTTATTTGTTGTATTTCTTGTCCTACAAACTTTAAATGAAAGGACCGTGTGGTATGTAGACGCGTTTTTGCATACACGCGAGCTTTGTTCTAACTTTTTCTATATTTAGAAAGGTATTTGAGCAGGACGGGAATCTAAAGATGACAGTAATACCACAAAGGAAAATTTATACTGTGGATTTGATGCGATGTAAAAACAATATTCTATTGGTATGTACTACCCTTTCGTGATTTAAATCAACCCTTGTGTATTGATCCCTGAAGTGTAAGCCAGATATTTAGTTTTACTTCTTGCATATGTTGCTGTAGCGTTGCAAATTAGTCTAAAGAGAACTACTGTTTGCTTTCAATCAGTGCCGATTTCTCTTGAACCTAAGTTGTTTACTGTTTCATAGGAATTACCTTAGTTTATTTACATTTTGTACGAAACTGCAACTAAGCAGTTTGGATACGTTGTTCTGTAACAAAATATAACTAGCTGTGCGAGGAGCTCATCTTACTTAACAAACTTTGAGCTATAACTAACAACTAAGCGAAATGTTGGAAGTTCTAAAAATATAGAGATTCTTTGTTAAAATTAAAAAGTAAAAGCTTTATGATACTAAGGACTCTGTTAAACAAACCGACACTACCTCGATCGTCTTTGGAGTGCGATTATCCCAGTACTGCACTGGAAGTAGAGAGACCCTGTAACCTCTCCGCCTGTCTACCTCGAACGCTACTGCTCTTCCTGGTGTTGCCACCCCGACGGCCTGAGAAAGTGAAATATTAATACACCAGTCTGGTGTAAATATTCGCCGCTTTCGAAACACGTATTCCATAAGAAGTTGAATAATACGAAGACTATTTGTTAGAGCGCGGGTCTGGATTTCTTGTTTTACGGACTACGTGCCCGATTTACTTCCTTTTGGCGAGCTATTGGAAGTTATTTTTGCCGACGCAGAGGTTTCAGTTTTTGATAAGCTTCGTGACGCAATTAAACCGAGTTTATAGCTGGAGTTACGTCAAAGTTATGCGGCATACATTTCGCGCCAACGAGCCAAGAAATCAGGGAAAATTTTCTTTCGGTCCAAAAAATTTGGGTCAATATCTTAAAAAAAAATTTTGTAAAATCCTTATAGAGAAAAAAATTATTGAAGTTGTAGTACCTCCAACCATTACATAGCTGGCCAACTGTAGTTTCTAGCGTCATTCGTAATACGCGTGAAAGCCACGTGGCCTCAGCGACTCGGAATACTGAAATCCGATTTTATAATCGTTATTGCGATAGTGTTTACAATAGTTTTTTAGTAGTTAGTGTCAAAAATGGCTTTCGTGTATAGCAACTCGGAGTTAATGGATATCGTTTTGATTTATGGCGAAGCAAGAAAATATTATTATTTATTCCTTTCCTTGCGAAATTCTTTCAAGTTTTCGACGTGACGGTCGTATTGTGCCAGGTCAGGTTTTACAGTGGACCAGTTTTCAGTGCCGTGCAGAAGTATATTTTTAAATCATTTTCGAACTACCCTTTTTGATTTTTTCCTTACAAAATTGTATTTGTAAGAGTCCCCTGTACATCCATTTTTTTTGGTTAATTTATGAATCACCCTGTATAGATAAAACAACTCTTGTATTTTATCTTTTATTTCTTTCACAACAACCCCAACATTTCTATTCGCATTTGCTACTAATATGATTCTGCATATAAATAGGCACTGTGAGGTTTTCTAAAAGCTCTAATATTTTTCTCAGCAAGTTTTCTATTGCAGTCTATTCATATTTTTATTTAAAAATAGGCTGCGATTAACTTTTCAAATTAAATTTATCCAACCAGTCATCGGCCTGGAACAGACAGCAGTAGTTACACATGACTAGATATAATTTAGATGTACATACGTATTTATACATGTGAGTATACATTATAAATGCTTATGTGAGCATGGCGATAACATCTTAGTCCGATATACACAATTTATTGTTGGGCCCACATATAAGTTTGATTCATATACCTATGCAGGTTGTCCTTTCTGATTTTATTTCATAAAGGTTATGTGGCTTATAAGCTTTATAAGCTTCTGGAAAATCAGCGTGCCAAATCTTCTTGGTCTCGATTAGGCAGAAGGCAATTTATTTAAATAAACGTAGAAGATCCACAGGAAATATAAATTCTGGAGTGCCGCAAGGTTCAAATTTGGGCCCTCTTATGTTCCAAGCGATATTGCGACCAGTATAACTTCTTCAAAGTTACTTTTTTGGTGACTATTTGAAGTATAGATGATTTTTGTCAACAGTATGCAGAAGTATGTTCTACAGTACGATCAAACGTCAAAAGTGGGTATGTGTCTGTCAAGCCTAAGTCGTTTAAGGGCGAATAGCCAAGAAAGTGATGAAGAAAACATTCCATTCGATATTAATAAAGCGACTGCTTGAATTTCTCGAATAATAGTGCGGAAAGAAAAAAATATACTAATAATAATAGCTCAATATTATTGATGACATAAATATTATGAATCTTAAATTGGCGGGAACATTAACATTTAATAAGTGTACTTTTGCATAACTCCACTTTCAACATAAATAACAAATGCAAAGTACCATTTTCTGCTCTCGGCATATAAATGACTATTTCAATGGTTGATATTCAATTACCTTTCAGCAGTATATAAAGTTTATAGATATAGCCTAAAAATATGTGATAAAAAATAACAATAACTGCTTTTACTGTGCCCCATATCCAGAAATCAATTTTAATCGCTTCCATATATCTCAAAAAGGTTGCCATGGAAAATGGTACAGTTATATCCAGCATCGCTGTTTGCAATGTAATGGGGGCATATAAAAACGGAAGTTTCCATTATTTTATGCCTTTTCATAAAATTATACAGTTGCACATGCTCGTTATAAGGAACCGATATGATTTCTATCGCATGCGAATGATTTATATGATTACGTCCTTTATTTCGATAAAATAAAATTTATCTGCAATTATTTCTATATCGTTGTACGTAAGTTATTGTTATTATAGCTCTTTTTATTTTTTTATGTCCAAGTTAAATTTACTTGATCAATTTTTACTGTGATTTTAAATCCGTATGATATTTTAATATATTACGAAAACGTATCGCTCGTCGGGTCACTGGAAGAAATACCTAAAATCAATAATTCATCAAGTATGTATCACGAAGTTCACGTGAGCTTAATTGAAGCTTTGCTGGCACACGACAGAAGAATCTCTCAACAATTTTAAAAGCTGTTATCGCCGGATCCGAATGAAAATCAGTTTTTCCGGCAATA